TGATCGTTTTTGTCTTCGTGCCTTCTATTATACAAAAAAAAACTTAAATTAAATTATGCCTTAAATTTTTTATAGAATTGTTATACCGTACGAAAGACTCTTTGCGATCATTTTGTTCCAGTCTTGATCTTTTTAAAGTTAAACAGAATTAGATTATTCAAATTGATCTTTTGAACAAAACACAAGACGGCTTCGGTTGAATCTTTTTCATTATTTCCGGCCTCGCGAAATTTGTTTATCATTCAATTTAAAGCATAGAGCAGATTTATAGAGCAATTTAGAGCATAGAGTTCAATTAGACTAAGTTTTCAAATTTTATTGAATTGATATACGATTGAAATACTAAGCGCAAACAATTTTTTCCCGTCTTGATCTTTTTAAGTTTAAACAGAAATCGGAAAATCAGATTGATTCAATGAACAAATTTCAAGCCTGGCTCCTTGTAAGTTTTTTTCATTTTTTCCAGTCTCGCCATTTTATTTTTATGTAAATTAGAGCACAGAGCAGGTGAATTAAAAAAATTTAGAGCATAGATCAGGATTAAATAAGGCTTTAAATTTTTTTTTATAGATTTGATATGCCGTATGAAAGACTTTGCGCGAATAATTTATTCCAATCTTCATCTTTTCAAGTTTAAACAGATATCGGAAACTCAAATTGATCCACCGAACAGAACTCAAGCCCGGCTTTAGTTCTACTTTTGTCGGGTCTCGTAATATTTTTTTCACTCAGCTTAGAGCATAGAGCAGATGTATATAGCACTTTGAAGCATAGGGAATAATAAAAGTATCTTTTAAAAAACTATTGAGATGATATACCGTGTGAGTCTCTGCGTGAAAAAAGTATTCCAATTTTTTTAATGGTAAACAAAAATCCGAACATCAGAAATGATCCACCGAACAAAACTCAATGCCAGTTACGGGTGTAAGTTTCATTTTTTCCGGTCTTGCAAAATTTTTTTTTGTTATTAGAGCACAGAGCAGATGAATAGAGCATTTTAGAGTACAGAGCAGAACTAAATTACGCTGTAAGTTTTTTAACGAGATAATATACAGAGTGAAAGACTCGGCGCGAGCAATTTATTTCAGACTTGATCTTTTAGAGGTTAAACAGAAATTGGAAAATTAGATTGATCCACTGAGCAGAACTCAAGCCCCGCTCCGGATGAAATTTTTTTATTTTTACGGTGCCTCATTTTTTTTCTCTGAAATTAGAGCATAATACAGATGAAGAGAAGAGCAGTTTAGAGCAAATAGCAGAATTAAAGTGTGCTTTCAAATCTTTATAGAGTTGATAAACAGTATGAAAAACTCTACGCAAACCTTTCAACCCAGTCTTGATCTTTTTAATTTTAAACAAAGGTCATGACTTTACTTTGATCCACTGTGCACAAACCCCGCTCTGGGTGTTTTTTTTCTCATTTTTTCCGGCCCCTCAGTTTTTTCTTTGAAATTAGAGCGTGGAGCAGATGAATGGCAAAACTTACAGCATAGAGCAGAAATCAATAATGCTTCAAAAATTTCATAGAATTTATATACCGTATCAAAGACTCTGCGCGAACATTTTTTCCAGTTTTGATCATTTTAAGGTTAAACAAACGTCAAGACTTCGATTTGATACTTTGTGCAAAACTCAAGTCCCATTCCGGGTGTACTTTTTCATTTTTCTCGTCCCACAAACTTTTTTTCCTCAAAATTGGAGCGTAGAACAGATGAATAGAGTAATTTACAGCTAGATCAGATATAAATTAAGCTTTAAAGTTTTTATAGAGATGATATATCGAGTAAAAGACGCTGCGCGAGAAATTTATTTCAGTCTTGATCTTTTTAAGGTTGTACAGAAATCGCAGAACTAGATTGATCATTTGAGCAAAACTCGAGCCCCACTCCGGTAGAAACTTTTCAATTTTTGTGGTCCCGCATATTTTTTCTTTCAAGTTAGAGCAGAGAGCAGATGAATAGAGCAATTTGGAGCAAAAAACAGAAATAAATTATGCTTTCAAATCTTTAAAGAGTTGATATACAGTATGAAATACTCTGCGCAAACATTTCAATCCAGTCTTGGTCTTTGTCTTTTTAAGTTTAAAAAAAGGCCATGACTTTACCTTGATCCATTGAGCAAAACTCAAGCCCCGCTTCGAGTGTACTTTTTTATTATTTACGGTCCCGCAATTTTTCGTTATAAAAAAA